TATATATATATTATTAATAAATAGAAAACGATGGAACTTATGAACACACTTTATATTAGTTGAATTATCAATGTCATATTTTTTATTTTAACCCTTTGCATTTTTGCTATTTTTTTTATATTGTCGTTCGTAAACGATTTGATGCGAAGACTTGCTCTCTTATGATGTGACAAGTAAACAAACTACTGAAATTGAAGAACTTGCTTTTAAAGTAAATTTAGGCAAATATTTGAGACTGTTCAGATGTCGGTGTTAATTAGTAAACGTGGAAAGTTGTGTTGTTTACGAACGTTCGCCTTTTAGAGTAAACATCTGCATATGAGAAATTTGTAAAAGCATGACCGCACACATGTAACATAAGTTTCCTGTAAAACTTTAAACGATGTTTGTATAGCTCTTGACTCACTAGACGGGTAATTACTTCTTCATTCGCCGCTTGTAAAGAAAACCCAATAAACGAAGAAGAGAAAAGAATGAATCAAACATCGGCACGTGGTACATGAAGAGTACCTTGATTTTAACGTTTGCTTAAGAGAAGCCATGTTTCTGCTTCCCACTCTGTGGAGCTGCTTGCGCCCTTCCAATCCTAATGACAGGTCCGAAAACATAGGACGCCGAGATGTCGAAATTCTAAAGGAAACAAACTGGCAAAAAGTCGACGACTTCGTCCCATCCCAAGCCTGCGAGATGAGTAAATACAGTGATTAAGCAGTTAAAAGAAAACGACGACCTTTTGTACGTCCTTCAGAGTGTAATCCTCTTATAAAAATATCGGGGTAATTCTGAAATGTAATGGGAAGGTAGTCAATCGTCTAAAAAGGTTATGCTTCACGCAGTGAACAAAAGGCCCCTCAGCAGCCCAGTCGGAAGAGTTACTGACACAAGAAGGGCGTAGGTTCGAATCCTGCATCAGACGCGAGCATTTTCATTTAGTTGTGGTGTGGTAGCCATTTCATAGTCCTGTGCATCTTATTTTGAGCTGCAATTTATTCATATCTCCTCATTACCTTGTAATTCGAAGAGCTTAGATTCGAAAGACTGTGATTTAGATTAGGTGCTTCCGTAAGTAGTCTATGAGACCGTTTTCTGCGGTCTGCGATTGCTTTTGGTAAAGCAATTTTCTTCTCATGAAAAATAAAAAATATTTAGAGCTCTTTAAAAAAAATATTCATTTTGATTTGGTAAAAATGAGCAAACGAAGTTGAAAAACAATTAGTTGGCAAGAGCAACTTGTTCGGGGAACTAGCGCCACACACACACACATCTGGAGCTGTGCGATTTACAAGCCGTTGCGTTCCCACAGACCAAACAAGAAAATATTACACTTTAAAAACTTCTATCTGGCGAAAAATACCGCAACTTAACTCTATTTGGACTAAAATATCTTCTCATCCATCTTTTCTTGAAATATAGTATTTCATTTTCACCACATTACATGCACGATGGAATTTTGCATGTAATTGCTATGCGCTATCTATCCCGGACAGTTTCTTCGATATTCGGAAGAATGTCTCACTCTTCTTCGCGTATCTACTGGCCCAAGCTTTTTCTTCCAGTTTCATACTAATACTCGTGCTATAATCAGCAACGCGTTTATTTCTTCTGAAGAGAAGTCTTACAAATTAATGTAGTGACAACTGTTGAGCGGAAAATTAATTGAAGTCCTCCTCCAAGGTTCCAGCTTGGGAGGATCAGGGCAATAAATGTCGCAGCAGTACATCTATCTGGAGAACCGAGGGTTCGAGACCCGACGATGTCGGTATTTTAGGCACTAGCTAGATAGCGAGGTCGAATTCAGACGCTCTCTGAAAAAGGGTAGCAGGCGGTATTTCTCCGGTTTCGGAAATCGATTGCTTTTGGTTATTAATCGGGCGGTTTCTCCAACCAATCCGAATCCGAATGCTGGACCAGCACCTAACCAATGCGCGATCTTTCCTTCCTCTTTCTAGTGCTATCCGCACCCCCTTGCTTCCACACACTTACATGCACGACACTACCAGTCTTGTTGGGAGACCAATCGTTTCAAGCGTTGTCCCGGCTGGGGCAGTGCTCAGCTGGTGGAAGAAACCTGGATGGGGAAAACCCTGCAAGCCGACGTGTAGGCCGGATCTAACGATCCAAAACGGGGAAAACACAGCTACCCCTCTAAATAAAACATGCACTGCTTTTACGGGGCTAATGCCCATAGCTGTCGATGCGCCCAGAAACGTGAAGTAATCAATTCAAAGATCTTTACTTTTTCGAGGGCGACATAAGAAACATTGCTCTGGTCACGTGAAAGCTTGTCCACAATGGGATCAAAGTTGCACGTCTTAGTTGGAAACAGCCACAATTCAATGTTGCTAGTCTGTTTGGGGACTGCCCCGCAACAATGTCACATCTACACTTCAGAGGTAGTTCCCTAAAATACATCTCAGGAATTAGACTTTGGGGGTGTTTTTATCATTTGTTTATTTGTTTGTATTATTATTATTAATAATATAAATAAAAGAAATCAAAGGAGATGGTGGGTCCGCAAATTTAGTAATAAGAGTGACACCTGCCACCATCTTTGGAACACCATGGCGAGAAGATGGAATGGGATTTGTCAAGTTGTAAGAATGACACTTAAAGATTTTGAAAATGTTTTGCAAATATTTGCGCCGAAGGTTTTTAAAGAAAACAAAAAAATAGAAAATACAAAATTGCACTCTATCAACTGCTAAAGTTTGACTGATGACTGGCGACTTGCGGCCGTCCCCGCAACATGCGTCTACACTTGCAATGTTGCGCAACATGTATCACTGAAACACGTTTGGAAGGG